TCGTATAATGGTTCAATGTTCTAAACTAATAGGGTTTTCGGGTTTTCACATAAAATTTTTTTTTTTTTTTTTTAAATTTTGCTATTCTCAACCATTTCGAAAACGGCGATAAGTCCGCAGAATACATTGCGAGTAGGGGTCTACAAATGCTCATGCCAGGCACATTGACATCAGGCCAGCTTGTGCTGTGCCAAGTTTTGTGCCTGCGCCATGCTCGTGCCTAGTGTTTCGCAAAAAAGATCCGAATGGATCCGGAATTTTTAATAGCATTTTACAAAGGATACTCGAACTAAAACTGTACATATATTAAATATGGAAAATACACTACCGACAACAAACTCTACTTGTTTTTCACATGTACCTGTAGCAAGTAACAGTCTTTCAAACTCGCTGCAAAAACCGGACCCGGGTCCGAATGGACAGTTTTGGAGGACATGCTACTGGCGATAGAAGCATGTAACAGGCAAATAGAGCCTAATGCCGGTAGTGTGTTTTCCATATTAATTATACGTGCAGTTTCAGTTCTGGTATCCTTTGTGAAATGATAAATTTATACCCATCAAAATACCAGATCCGTCCGAATCTTTTTTTGCGGAACGCTACCCGTGCCCAAGATTTTGTGCCTGTGTTGTGACTTTGCCTATGCTTTTTGTTAGGCATGAGCATGAGCCCGGCTTGCAACCCTGATTTGAGTAATTTGAACTGAACGATGATATACTCCCAGGAAAATTGGCAAGTGAGATTACGCCAGGTATCATCATATCAGTACAGTAGTATTAGTGAGAAACAGTATCGACTGGCGGTTTCTTGGTAATTTATTTATACAGTTTTGAGAATGTAACATTTTACTAACAAAAAATCACTGTAAAAGTTTGAAGAACGGTTATATTGACTGTGTAAAAATAATCAAAAATAATCAAAATCCTTAAGAAATTAGAAGTGAAGATTTCGTTATTTATTATTATTACTATATATATTGGCTTATACAAATTTTCATTGCAGAAATACAAAAAAATAGTTGTTTAAGAACAATCAAAATGTTTAAATTTAGATTTTGAAAAGAAAACTTTACAAGCTGTTAATACTGTATTTCCGGCATCTTTGACTGACCGGCTTTCTTATGTCAAGTCATACCTATGCTTTTCGATAATCATTAACATATTTAATAATATCCGAGACAGTAAAATCCTTGAAATTGTCATAAAAAAATCAATTAAAAAAATTTGCACAAATGAAAAGTTAATACATTATTGTTACAATAGTTGCTAGCCAATAGAAATCAAGGTTTTGAAAACTTCATGGCAATAGGATATCAAAAAGTAAATTTATGTTTACAGTAAAATTTTTCTTTTGAATACTCATTTTCGTGCATATTGTTTTATTTATTTCTTAAACGTTACATATCGTTATCTTCCTTTTTTTTTTTTTGCGGCACAATATATATCGTTGTTACATAAATTTTTCATAAAATTTATAAAAAAAAAAAACAATAAATCATGTCTTATAGTAAAAATATGAAGTAGTAAATATCATAAACATCTTAACATACATGCATAATCATTAAATGAATAAACATAAACGTATATTAATAACGAAAAAAAATTTTTTTAAAAAAAAACTCGGTACTCAACGTTAACCGCTAACGTTGAGATTTATGTACGTTAACTCAATGAGCATTTTGGAAAAAATTTCATCCTCATTGGGGTCTCCGTTAAGATTATTATTTGAACGTTCTGGAGGAATGTCCACATCCGGGCACTGGTCGTAATTCGGAAATTGATATCGATTAATCTCAACTTTCGTATTATTATGCGTTTCTCAGATATTTTGTTAGACTTAATCTTTTTGTTAGATTTAACCTTTTTGCGGTTTTTTTTGGGGTGGAATATCTATAAGAAGGGTTTTTTCCTTCATGCATTTCACCAGCTGCTTTAGCGGCAATTTCGAAATAGTTTTTTTACAGAATCAGGTTGTTCTTCCCAGATTTTAGATACCAAACTTGAAACTTCTTTATTCTTAATCTTAACACCTAATGATTTTAATTCGGCCTGATAATTCTTTCTGAATAGCATAAACGAATTTAAAGGTGTGGTGGTTTATATTTTTCGGGGTTTTTATTATGCCTCGAAGCATTTCAGGAATTAATCGATGGCGAGATTAATTTATCGTGTTTAATCGTTAGTTCGTACGGAGGACGAATTCGTAAGAATTCTTCATAAAATGAATGTGTGATGTTTAAAGAAAATTAAAATCTACTAGATTCCATCTTGTTTTGAGGAATCAAAAATCAAGAAAGCATTGCTTTAAATAAAGAAAATTTTATTAAAACAATTTCAGTTTATTCGGTTTATCGGGCCTGTGGAACAGTTGTGCAACAATTAATTCATGGAGTTTTTTGGCGAAACGGAAAACAAACTGTTGCAGCATGATCTCGTTATGCAGTCTTATTTTGGTTGCTTTCCGGAAAAACCTAAAACTCTTGAACAATCACCTGTCATGGAATTAGCAAATTCGATTTTATAATAGATAAGCAGATCATTACTTGTTGCTTAAAACAATACATTGTCACACAAAACTATCCGAAATGTCATATAGTACATAAATACGTACGTACGTACAGTACGTACATATCCTAGGCTAATTTTCAGTAGTCGATTAAAACAAAGCAAGATAGTAACGCATGTAATGGTTTTTTATTGTTCTCCGGAATATCAGAACGCTCGCGGATCTTCGGAATTATTTCCTTTAAAATTTAAAAAACGCAACAGCACATGTAAGAATCAAAAATCTAGTTATATTGATAAAAGTATTATAGATATCTAGCTGGCTTGTTTAAGTTCAGACTAGAAATACGTATTCAATTGAACTTAGCCCAAATTCAGTATATACTGTATTCTTATGGTTTGGTTCGGACAGTGATCACGGTTAAACCGTAATTACATACCAAAATTTATTGCTAAAAATAAATTAGAGGTCTATTATCATTATTCGTATTCAAACATGGAGATGCCGGATCTATCGCTGTTTTCGAATTATTATCATGCGATCATTTAATTTTGTAAATCCTAAAAATAATGTAATAATTCGAAAACAGCTAAAATGGTTTAATGAGATATAGTTTTTTTTACTGCACATAGAATTTTCTGGATTGAAATCTTTCCCTTCTTTTGACGTAGGAATTAAGGTTTGGCGTCGCGGAAATTATAGTGCGTTTTGAGCCGGTGCATGCATAGAGTTATCATGGGTCGTCTGAGCAATTGTTATATGGCTCTGACACTGTGGTTAGTGCAGACAAACTCGAAGTGATATCTCCGCCTATACAAAGTATCGTCTTTTAACTGTTAACGTTAATTTTATATACACAATTTTAAAAAGTTATTTGTTTTTTTTTGTGCAACTTATCTAACTTATTAAGAAACTATGATAAATCACAAACGAAACAGCAGCACTACATGAAGGATTCATTTCACCGAAAATCAATTCATCAACAAGTTTACCAGCGATTAATTCACCGACAAGTTTATTTCACCAACATTTTATTTCACCGACACTCATTTCATAAAATAATTCTGGTCAGTGCCGTTAGGGTCAGGTTTAGAATTAGGGTTAAGGTTAATGTAATTTATAAAAAAAAATACTTGTTGGTAAAATGACATGAATAAACAATCATTAAATTTTTGAAATAATGTTCGTTTTTGTTTTGAGCGTTCGTCTAAATTAATTATTTTTTTTGCCGCTTGGCTATCAAATATCAGATTGTATGTGAGAAAAGAAGATGAAACGATACACCCGGAGCATGTTATGACATTTTCATTCATAAGATGGACGTATGCATCTAGATATGGCATTTTCTTTTCACAAGATGGGACGTGACGCATCTAGAGAGGATTTTCACATATTCTGAAATATGTGGAAGCGTTTGATGGGCCTTTGGACGTATTAAGAAGCCGTTCAGAAACCAATAAAACCTATTGATTGTAATAGAGTGACGGAAAGGGAAAACCTGTTAATCATTTCACTCATTATCATCGCAATGATATCTACCCCTGCAAGAATTAAAGGTAGATAACATTGCGATGATGATAGTGAAATTTACAGGTTTTCCCTTTCCGTCACTCAATTGTACAAAAACTCAGCATTCTATTTATTTATGCCGATCTGTATACTGTAATAAGATGGATTATTAGTTATCAACTTCATAAAATGATGGTATGGTATAAAGGTTATTATACACATCACTCTAATTATATCGATGCTCCAAAAATAAATAAATTGTCTGATACATCAGATGCCGGATAACCAGATGCATTTTCATACTAAGTACTGAATATAGGTTCAAGATTTTAAAAATGTCGTCATAGTTAGTTAGATGTTTCTATATTTAAGGCGTGTTTCTATATTTAAGGCGTTACCTTAATGCAGAGTTGTCATGTCCAATGATCTGGATTAGACATTGGACGTCCAATGGTTTGGATTGGACATTGGACATCCAAATCCAATTGGAAAATGTCCAAAAATCACGATTGGATATTGGATTGGACGTTGGATTGGACGTCCAACCAAAGGTGTCCAAATGTCCAATTTTGTCCAATGTACAACACTGCCTTAATGGACTCAACAAAGAATCTGATTGGCCCGACTGATTAAACTGGCCAATCAAATTCTTTATAGTATTCATGAGAGATGTTTGAGAACGTTCTTTATGTCATTATAATCATAGTGACGTTTGTGGCAGATCCCTAATATAATCAAACATATGCAAAAAATCTACCATACAAAAAATGAACTGGGCATATGTTCCTTTGATTTTCATTGATTAAATGAGTGCATGAGAGTGAAAACCTGCAGCTACATATAATGATTTATTATGATAAATTTCAGGTTTTCACACTCACGCACTCAAATAATATAAAATCTCGATTTTTTTTTATTTTTATTTAATATCATGACATAATTTAAATAAATATCAATTTTTGTACAACTAAATGAATTTAGATTATTGGAGTTTCACAGAATGTGAGCACTTTTAGATTTTTTCTTGTGAGTTATTATATTATTTATTTAAATTAAAAATACCCGCCATTCAATACGTTAAGCAACTAGCGAATATTAACAAGGAGTTAAATGAAATGGTTGAAAATCTTTTATGCGAACAACGAGAGGAACGTGAGAATTCTTTTAGGGTCAGAGAAAGGATTTTGGAATTTAAGCTACGGATAAAAGTGTTTTTTTTTACACGATTATTATGATCATCTGCATGTTTTTCTCTTATTTTTTTTTAGTCTTGTTATCGAACCGGATCACAAGAAACAAGGATCCCTGATGGTGGAATTATTCCTTGTAAATGCATTGATCTCATTAATCTTCAACATAAGTGATTTTTATTCGAGTGTTCATTACATGATTTTGATTTATTTTATGTACGTTGTAAAGGTGAGAAATAATGGGTGACGAATATCTATCTATAAATAACCTATCTAACCAATAAACTAACAAT